TGTTTAACATATAGAAGATAGACGGAAGTCCCAATCTTTCGTATGACCTGCAAGAGGCCCCTCTCCACTGGGAAGGGGCAATCCCATGGCACCATGTTGTTTCAATACCGGTCTCTGCACTTTTACCACTTTGGAAGGCTGAGTTATGCAGAAATTTACGCCTTGCTACGAGCCTAAGGAACAGGTCAGGGACCACCACTGCTATGTTTATGCTATTTTACAATGCAACTTGAACATTTTTGCCGCCGGAGTTGGTCAGGCCCCACTGCGCTATACTTGTGTGTGCTGGATTAGCGTGAACAAGGTCTTTCTCTGCAAGCCAGTGAAATGACCCCTCAGGCGCACGCCAGTTTATCAAAATCGTAGTATGGGCTAATATGTTAGGCCTGAGGTCGGGCAAGGCGTGAAGCAGAACAGCCATAATTCACATTTGTACAGAGAAAGGGGGGGATGAGGTGCAAGAGGAGGTGAAAGAGAATGCCCACCCTTGACAAAATTCCGCACCCGCTATCATGAGATTAGTTACTTCGAGCTCATGGCCACAAGGACCAGGCCCCACATCTGATATGTTTGCGCTTAAGAGTGATCCTGATCACAATAATGAAAGGGTTCAAGCACTACCGCCTTCATCCAAAAACAATGTCCGGGCGTTGAATAGGAATATAACAACCCGGCAGGCGATATATTCGTTTATAACACCTGGGCATTGTATTCAGTAAATCGGAAGCAACTTGGGTGAGCCCCGAAAACAAACCAAAAAAAAAATCAAAAGCATATATGTTGTGTAGAATTGCAGCGCAAACAACTTTTGGCTAAAGGTCGCTTCAAAATAGTTTCAGACTCCGAAGATAAAAGAACAAAACAAAAAAATCAAACCGAAGTACACCACCCCTTAGAAATTACAAGGCCTTTAAACCCCATGTATACTTCACATCCCCCGCCTCCTACAGAGCATTCTACCAGTGCCACACTCAAATATAACACCAGGGCATTATATCCAAAAAGAAGTGCATAAAATCAAATCTGATTTTTTTAGGGTAAATTGAACATCATGCCCAGGCGTTAATTTTAGATGAAGGTGGTAGTGGGAGCTGACATAGACTCGAGGCTTGATTATTTTCATTCAAGGTTCCTTGCCTCGATCCTCTACCTGCTCTGCACTCTAGACGATGTTCCTCTTCTATCCCACGGAGGCATGATCACATCACACTTAGTAGTTCAGATGATGGTGAACTCAGATTCTATACAATTTAAACAAAAACAAAAAAAGGCAAAGTGGAAATTTCGGTAAAACCCCTTTATACCCCCCTCGTACCCCCCCCGAGCCCTGTTATGGTTTCTGGAAAGCAGCTCGTACTAGGTGTCCCTTTCATATGCACAACCTCACGACAATGGTCCTAGGTGAAAAAGAAAATGTCCCTTCCCTTGCTGAAAAGATGTCCCCGCAGGCTTCTGACAACCTATTAGGAAATCTGGGCAGGTTTCCCGGGACACATCTGACCAGCCAGATGTGTCTGGATGATCCACAAGATGTTGGGCCCAACAATATAGCCTTCTGGCCATTTCCCCGTTTAAAAAAAAAAAAAAAAAAAAAACAGCAGCCATATTCTTACGCATAGTTAGGGACAGGCCCCACTGGTGCTGTGTTCATGCTAGGAAATCATGCACATGGACTTGATGATGGTTAGGTTTGTGCCCTCTTATATCGCCGGAACGCAGCATATGTGGGGCGTGGCGCTTCAGTGTCTATATGAAATTTAACACTGCTGGCAAGAAATGACAGTGAGGGTAGAGGCATTGAGAACTCAAGACAGCTCAGACAAACAAGCTCCGCACAGCAATCCGTCCCTCACACAATACCTGAGACAGTATATGTTTGATAAGGCTCGATTATAGGACCGGTCACAGTTATGGACGTTCCTGATCTGTACTCCTTGTCATCGGAACGATCATTTGCCCCTTCATCTGGAGAACACAAACATCCAAACAAACAAAGAACAAAAATCGTGCAAACAGAGAGGGCAGTAAACACATAGCAGAAAACCTCTGCCAAATGATCGAAAGAAAAGGCACTAGTCCGTTATGGCTCACATATACATCCATATTCCAGAAGATTTC